TTTTTTTGTGGGGTGGGGATAGGGGAGGGCATTGAAGTTCTACAATTCTGGAGTAGTTGGTGGGTACATAGTTAACTTGTTTTGGTTATATGTTGAACTTTTAACAACTGAAGAATCCATGAGTGTCATTTAAAGAAAAGTTGCAGAACAAGCAATTGGCTTAGATATGGGGGGAATCCTTTGCCCATATTTTAATGTAATTGTATAACTGGGAGCAAAAATATATTCTGCTTTTCAACTGTAGGTGCTCCAGACTTGCTCTCTGTCACTAACACTAAATGTGCAGTTTTCCTTGTTTTTCATCAAACATCTAAGAGAAACTTGTACTTTTCTGTAAATTCTCTTGATTTCTCTGCAAAATCTAAAAGGGGAAGAAAAAAAGGCAATGAAAACTAAACTTTTCATGTTTTTAGCCAGTGAGGAGGTAATAAACCCTGCTTATAGAAGGTGTGCTTTCATGCAAATTATACTTCTGAGCTTATTAGCTTCTAATTATATCTTAGTAAATATATTTTATTACTAGAGCAAAATGGGTTTTTAAGGAAAATAATGTGAAATTCTGAAATTTTCTTTTGGGCAGAAAAGAGCATTAGCCCTGTCTTATCATCACATTGCCATCCTGTTGCACTGCAGCTTGTGTATAGCATGCTGAAATAAATTTTTTTTGTGTGTGTGTGTAGAAACTAAGGGTCCAATTTAAGATTGGGTGATGTTAGTGATATAATAACAAGTTCTCTGGCCTGACACAGCATAACATCACACACACATATACACACAGAGAGAAATTAGTATATCCATGTATGTCAAATACAGGTTAAAATAGCAGGGCATTTATATAGAGTTGTAGTCTTCTAATAAAATAAGCTGGATCCCCTAGGAATATCTGGGGAGAAAGGAACTGCTTTTTTTGCTCTACCCCTTTGCTTAAGAAATGTCCAGTTTTGAGCGACTGTAGTGTGGATGGTTTTCTTGTTTTGTTGATTATTTGAGGCTTTTAATAAGTAGTTCATGAAAGAAGCTGTTGGACTCAATGTAGAGTAGAGAAAATATCTTTTTAGTCTGGATTTCTGCCCTGCTTAGATTTTTTAAAAAGTTATAAGCATGGATTGCCAATTCCACTTGATGTAAACAAAACTTTTTATACATAATATATATATATACATATATATATATATATATAATAACTTATTGTATCAGTCCAGGTTCAGAAACTTGTGGTAGGCCAGTTCCAGATAGTTTCATTTCACCTGTAAACTGTATCACTTTTACTGATATTGTAATTTTCAAATGTATAATATGTTTACAGATGTGCCCTGCATTTAGTCTGCCTTGTTCCTATTTTGATTTTTGTTGAGTCTCCTGCCTGCTTGCCAAAAGCTAGGATGCTTCAGGCCCATGTACAATTGAAAGCAGAGGCATCCTTGAGCTTTAAAGCATTGAACAAACTGGAAAATGCAACATACCACATACTGAAGTGAAAAAAAGTCTTGTGTTTTGTGTTTTTTTTTTTTAATAAAAATTTTCAAAAAGTTTAAAAAAAAAAGATAAAAGGTTGATTAAAGAAAAAAAAAAGGCTCCAGTTTGTTTTACAGGTTTTAAAGTTCTGCTGTGTGTTCAATTGCCTTGTGTAACCACTTGTCTTAGGGCCAGATCCCCACCCTCACCCCACACCTCTTATTTTTAAATGTCCATTTTGCTTGCCTGGAATTTTAAAGCTTTTTTGTTTCACAACTCACAAACTTTCTTGGTTTGTGACATACAGAGTTGAATGAACATATATTTAAGAAAAAAAAACACCCCAACCCCCATCTGAATTGGGCTTTACCTTTACCTTGGAAGCAACAATTAAATACTTTTTAAAAAGTCTTTGCTTTCTTAATTCCCTCCTATATCCCTCAGGCCTCTGGGTTCAGAGAAGCTGAAGAGAATGTAACCCTTCTGTTTGTCCAAAGGTTTTTTTGAGTCTCAATTCTAAATGAAACAATGCAACATTTCACTTTTATTTCTGAACTGAAATTTATATGATTAGAGGTATATATTATAGTGGTTAGGAATTTCTTAATTTTCTGGGAACCCTAGTGCCCCATCATATTAACCGTCAGTATTTTTGGGCATTGGGTTAATGGACTTAATTGCCTAGGTACAAGCAGGACTTTGGGACAAATTCTCCTTTGTGCTGTTTGGTTACACTTAACTCTACTTGTTGCAATCTTTCTCCTTAGGTCCTCACACAATTCCTTACAGAGCACTTATTAAAAAAATCTGAAGAGTTGATCTGTTTTCTGATTATTTTTGTGTAAGCTTCTAAACAAACTTCAGCTGTGATTAATTTAGCACATTTAAATAACAATGTGTTTCTGTTCATTATAAAATTTTCCTTCGACTCAGAGTATTAGTACTGTAGCATAAACCAAATACAGTCTAGAGGGGATTTTTAACATCCCTCCATTAAAAAGACTGAAAAAGCTGTGTGTGTCTATGGGTGTGTGTGTGGGGTTGTGTGTATGCATGCATGTTTGTGTGTTGGGTGCTTGTATGTGAGGGAAGGATAAAAGATTAGTGAATGTGTATAAGACATTAGTATTCAGAATGAAACTTGTATTTATTTTGTGCCATTTGTTTTCATTACACAGAATAAAGTCAGGTGGTTTAAATCCTTAAAGGGGTAGTATTTGAAAAATGGCACTAAGAATGAAGTTATGACCTATTTTTTTAATAGCTATGAAGATACTAATTATGGGTGAAGATTTCTTTTTTTAAATTTGTCTTGATTGTAGGCTTTTGTGTCACATGCCACTCTTGTGTAGATGTCCCCACAAAAGACAGGGTGTATTCATCTTTCTCTTTATTCACCCCCACTTTGCTGGACTGAAGTTAATTGCATAGCCTTTCCTCTAACCTCCTTAGTAATGAACCATTAACATAAAATATATTTACACCATCTTCCTCCCCTGCTTTTTAGGAGGAGATAGCCAATAACTAGGGATTTGTTAATGGCAGCTTGTTTTATTTATTTTTTTCCTTGAAATAAATGGCTAGTTTGTCTCCATTTTAGAATTTTGCTGTCCTTAATCATTTGCATACTTAGTCACCACTCAGAATCTGCAAAAACTTAAAAAGAAAAAGTGCTGCATTTGTTTTTTTAAGAACAGTTCTTAGGCAAAATGACAAACCTCAGCTATCAAGAGTTGTCCACAATACAAAATGTATTTCTTCATAAAATATGACATAGCAGCAGTAGTTTCATATTTGGCTGTTAAGTTTGTTGCTAACTCATATTAGAGGCATCTAATGGGTTTTTTTCTGTAATTGCCAATAAGTTTTTTTTTTTTTAAAAAGCCACTTAGTGTGAAATTGTCATGGAACAAATGGCCACAGGCAAGGAAATTATAATAGGGCTTTGCTTAATTTTAAATTCCACCAAATAAAGAGGGGAGTCATTTTTTTGTAAGGCTTTCTTAGGAGAAATAAATTAATTAAAAGTGCAATTTCCAAGGGATATGGGCATAGGAGTGCCTCTGGGCCATGTCCTCAAATAACACATGATCCCTCATGTGCTAACTGCAGAATTGATATTTGTAGTAGGACAAATGTATACAAGCATGACAATTTTTATGGTAAGACCTGTTGATGCTGCACCAGCAGGTGGATTCTAATAAGATGGTGTTTTCTGATAGCCCTACTTCTAGATTTTAAGGAAAAGGAAAGGGCAGAGGACAAGGCTAGACTTTGCTGCTCTCAATTTGCCAGAGGCATGGTAGTTCTTAAAGTCAATATTGCTTTTATTAATTGACTGGGCACCAGGATTCTTTTATGGTGAAAAAAGATGGGCTTCTGCTATGAGTGTCTTTAAAGGTTTCTTTTTAAACATCAGTCTATTCAGATGTGAGAACCAGAACCACCGGGAGCTGGTTTAAAGAATGATGAAACATCGACTCTGCTCACTGCTTTACTGAGTTCTAAGTTCCACACCGTTTTGCTGCTCAAGAAAGATCTTAAAGTAGTTAAAGGATCCCAGCAATGTTATGAATGTTTTTTTAAGTTGTCTCCATAATAATAAACACCCAGTGAAGCAAGAATGGTATATTGCTTTTATATTACTGGGAATGTCAAATATGGGCTAGAAACTATGGAACACCCATCCTCACGTGATAGTTGCTGATTCAAACTTCCCTCTTTATACATAAAGTTTTGTGTTCAGGGTTCTGAAGCCATTTTCTGATAGTGCAGTATCCCTTTTCTACAGCCTTATTAAAAACACTTACAAATGTTTATTTTCCAGTCCAGTTTTAACTTTCA